TGGGTGTGCAACTGACTTTCTAGCAGCAGAGATGGCTCTGCACTGAGTCATCTGCATTCCCTTGCCACCCACCCGCCCCCCATCCCAATGAAGGAAGGAAGCAGCTGGCATCAGGGGTCAGAGCCAAGGGGCCTGGCTCTCAAGAGAACCAAACCTTATAAGCCCAGCTGGCACATAAATAGTCACCAGTTTGAAATTAAACTGGTTCCCTCAGGGCCTAAACCCAGCCAGCCCCTCCCAACTTGACTTCTTCTATCTCCCTCCTTCCCCTCCAGCCACACTGACCTCTCCCAACACACCCACTGGATTCCTGCCCCAGGGCCTTTGCATGTGCCACTGGCTCTTGCTGGAAGGTCCTGCCCCCGTCTTCTCACCTGGCTCCCCCTTCTGCCACTCGGATCTTCAAGGAGTACTCACTGATCACTAGACCCCTCTCGGTCACTCTTAGCCCATTGCCTGTTGTATTTCCTATCCTCATGGTTAGTCAGATGCCGATTTCCTCACTGCACTCACAGTTCCAAGCACAGTCCCTGGTACATAGTAGGCCCCCTCCACCAATATTAATAGCATAAAGGAATGAAAGAAAAAACAACTTCACACACCAGCAAACCAACTAGAACCGAAACAGACCTCCCAGGGGAAGTTTTTTTTTTTTAATGCGGACCATTTTTAAAGTCTTTACTGCGTGTGTTACAATATTGCTTCTGGGTTTTTTTTGTTGTTGTTGTTGTTTTAATAGTTTGGTTTTTTGGTCCCTAGGCATGTGAGATCTTAGCTCCCTGACCAGGGATCAAACCTGCACCCCTTGCTTCGGAAGGGGTGCTTAACCACTGCACCACCAGGGAAGTCCCCCTGGGGAATTTTGAAGATTAAAAAGTGGCTGCAGTGAGTTGCGATTCATTGAAGAAATCAACTCTGTGTAAGATCACCTCCTCCCACTTCCAGTTTCCTGAAACTTTACTTGGTCCAACAACAGCCTTTGACCATAGGCTGAAGTTCCAAGGATGCTCCTAGTGCTACTCTTGCCTCTCCTGGCCTTACCAGCATGTGCTCGGCAACACGACTGGGCCCCATCAGCAGAGCAAAATTAAAGCAGAGAACAATCTCTCCAATGACAAATTTTCTAGAGAACGTTTTAAGCCTCCAAACTTCTCTTAAGATATCATTTTAATAAGTATGCAATTCTTATTAAAACATCTAACACACTCTACAGTGACTATGCTGACCACAATGTAAGTTTTGCTTGACATTTTAGGGTCATTAGGATCACTAACTGCACCACCAACCTGCAGTACTGGGATGCCCCCAGTGTGGTGTATGGGACTGTGGTCCCCCACGCTTGGTGGTTCCCAATCACTGTGCTATGGTTTTCTGTTCTTAGTATCATGTTTCTGCCTCCTCCTTGGCTGTTAGCCATTGCTTCTTGCAGCTCCTCACTCCACAGCCTCTACCAGCACTTCAAATAGGCTGTGAACTGAAAAATCAAAATGTGTTAGAACTGTGTGTAAACCAAGAATCAATAGGACCTGAGCAAAGACCCAAGAAGCTCTTGTTTAAATGAGATTCATGGACATCAGGTCATCTCATCTGATGCTCAGGGAAGATTTTTCCCATCCTTCTAGGTTTCAGCTGTGCCCCAAAGTCCACGCTGCCCAAGTAGCAGCCTCCAGGGCTTGGAGCATTGTCTAGCACAGGTAGGCGTTAAGGCTCCCTAAAGCTTTCCTGGTGAGCTGGTGCTGAAAGCAGCCTGCTCAGACAGCTCAGTCATAAAGCCAAGTGGTACTGAATGAAGTCATGGCTTACCTAGTAGCTCAGTTGGTAAAGAATCTGCCTGCAATGCAGGAGACCTGGGTTCGATCCCTGGGTTGGGAAGATCCCCTGGAGGAGGAAATGGCAACCCACTCCAGTACTCTCTTGCCTGGAGAATTCCATGGACAGAGGAGCCTGGCTGAATGAAGTCAGAGCCGCTGAGAAGGGTTTTTAAGTTATTTAAGTCTTGTGGTTCCAAACATGCTCTCCTCTGCTTCACTCTCCTTAGGAAAACAGGGCTCTCGTGCGGGCCTTTGGGGGGCAAAGAACCACAAACCGTGCTGAGCATGCATTTCGATGGTTACCAGCAAGGCCCCTGAGAGACAGTTTCCTGAAGCGAAACAGAACCCAGAGGCCTTCACAGGGACTCACTATGGAATCAACTCAGATTCCAAGTACCCTGTGCTATGCTCAGTTGCTCAGCCATGTCCCACTCTTTGTGACCCTTTGGGCTGTAGCCCACCAAGCTCCTCTGTCCATGGGATTTCCCAGGCAACAATACTGGAGCGGGTGGCCATATTCTCCTCCAGGGGATCTTCTCAACCCACGGATTGAACCTGCGTCTCCTGCAGCCCTGGATTCCTTACTGTTGAACCACTGGGCAAGCCCCTGCAAGTATGTTGTTTCCATCCAGTTATGCCCAAGGAAGACAGTTAGCACCTCTATTTCCCCCTCAAGTAAATGACTTTCAACAACAGGATATAAAAGTACTTTCTTTACAGGAAATAGTTTGAACTGCATTGTGCCACATTTGTTAGATGTGTGTACACATACATATTTATAGAAAAAAATAATGGAAAGTCTAGACATCAGATGTTACTTAGTGATTTGCTCCAAGTATAAAATTACAAAATTTTTCATTTTTATATTTTGGTTTCCCAAGTTTCTTTTGTTGAGTACATATAATTTTTCTAGTTAGGCAGATGAAAGATTTTTTTAACAAAAATTATTTTTTAAATGTTTCTGGGACTTGTCTACTGGTCCAGGGGCTAAGACTCCAGGCTTCCACTGGAGGTGGGCATGGGTTCAATCCCTGTGCAGGGAACTAAGATCCCACATGCTGCATGGTGAGGCCAAAAAACAAGATTAAATTCAAATATTTTTGTCACTTAAAAACATCATCCTTGGTCCCTTGTATTTCCTCCTTTCTGCACCAGCTAAACCTCCCGAGATCTGAATCCAATGGGGGTGCCCTGGTCACAGCAGTCCAACTGCTTTTTGAGACGTGTCACAGGCCTAACTCTCACAGGAGAGCAGGGTCTTTGGGAGACCGAGGTGACAGCAGCCCTCCTCCTTCCTCGCTGCTGCAGCCCTGGAAAAGGGCTGTATTCACATGTAATCCCTCTGCTCCAATTCCTGGGGCTTTGAGGAGCTGTGAGAGGCCGTGAGAGTCCAGAGTGCAGTCTTATTTTTTTCGCTTTGGCCACACCTCACGCCATGTGGGACTTTCCCGACCAGGGATTGAACCTGAGCCCCGCGCAGTGCAAGCGCTGAGTCTGAACCATTGCGCTGCCAGGGAAGCCCCCAGAGTACAGTCTTTGAAAGCAGGTGCATCGGCCTCCAGCGTGTCCTAGACCTGTGGCACTCGGTGCTAACAAACCACGTAGTCCTCCTGAACCTCGTTTTCCTCATCATCAAAATGGGAGTACAACTCCTCACTGGAGATTAAATACATGCCAAGGGGGCACAGAAGGGCACCCCTGAAGCCTGAAGCATGGCTATTGTTCTTATGGAGAACCTAGAACACAGGGGTGTTGGTGCAGGGTCTCACCCTGGCTTCCCTTCCCAGTACCCTAGGAAGCTTGTAAATGATTCTGAGGTCTGGGTGAAGCGGAGACCTCCGTGTGGCTATAGCCACAAGCACTGCCTTTAACCCTGCCTTCCTTTCCCTCCACAAGCCCATGTCCATGACATCCCTCCCATCTGCTCAACATCACCACCTCCAGGAGGCCCTCAACAAGTTTCCCATGCTAACTATAGAGTCCCTTCGACACCCAAATTTGAGGTCGAACTCATGTGGAATTTGCATTTGCCACTGTATCAGCTGGAAAACATTCTCAAGTTAATTCTTATATTTATAATTTCTACCTGTCTATTTGTTTTTTATCTGATGTTGAGCAGATGAAGCCTTCTGGATGCTGGGACATGCTCTGAGCTCTGCGCACACTCCAGCTGAACAAACAAACAAAAAAAGGCCAACTGATGCTGTGGACCAGTGCTTTCCAAAGTGTAGTCTCAGAACCTGCAGCATCAACATCACCCGGGGGTTTGCAAGGAGAGCAAGGTCTCAACCCACCTGGAAACATCAAGTCTGCTCCTTAACTCTGAAGGTGGAGCCCAGTTTCTCTTTTATCGAGCCCTCCAGGTGGATCTGCACTTGCTCATGTTGGAGGATTGCTAAATTAAGCTAAGAGCTAGTCTCCACCTGTGTGCCAAAGAAGGCCTTTGCTTCCCCAGTAAGAACAGGGCCAGCAGAAGTTAGCAATTTGTCAGTGTTCCATGGTCCACGGGTGTGTATATAAGGTTTCACAAGAACAGAACCTGCTATGAATAGTCACATCTGCAAACACATATCCGAAAAAAAACCTCTGCAAGTACAGTTTCAGCCTGTTGCCTATTTTATTGCTGGCATTCCTTACATTGACAATTCGCCAGAAAACTAAAGTTTATCCCTTAGAGGTCCATTTTTTAAACCTAACTTTTCCTGCATTAAGTGGACTACATTGACAAAGTGGACCACAGGCCAACTGAAGCAGGTGGTGAAGTTTGGATATTGTTACAAAAGCCTCAGGTTCCCTGCCACTTCGGGTCTTGTGCTTGCTTTTCTAGACTTATCTGGCTGCTCCCACCTTTAGCAGTTATCACATGTTGCTTCCTCAGTGTGGGTACCTCAAACAGCTCCAGCCTCCCTTCTAATCTGGTTGAGAAGACTGATAACCCTGCTTGGTCAAACTGTGAGTAGACCAAGAGTAAAGAGGCCTGAGGGCGGATCCGATGGGTCAAATCCTGGGCCTGGCAGGCCAGCCTGTCTCTTTCACCAACCACGCCCCCTCCACGTGCCTCCGGCCAACCAGATGGATGGGGCTACTTCTAAGGTGTTCAGTATTTAGTTTTAACTGAATTCTTCCAAACTGAGGGGGGGCAGAAATGTCAGTTTTGCCGTCAAGGTGCAGCTGGGGAAATCAGGTTACCTGGTCCTGGAGCTTCTGGAACATCAGTGGATGCGGTTCCTCCAGGATCTTCTCATTGAGGCGGGACTGGCCCTCAACGTTGACTTGGGACGAGGCCTTGCTGGACAGAAAGGTCATGTAGATCTCCTTCGCCTTTTCCTGCATCTGCGGGGAGACACGGGGAGCCTGTCTGTTATCTGCGAGCACAGCCCTTGCCAGCCGGAGCCCAGAAGGAACCACTGCTGGGAGAGCCCCAGGGCATCTGGCTGTGGCTCCAGAGCTAAGCTGAATGGGGGGATCAGGGGGGTGGGGGGGGCTCATGGTCACCCAGCCCCTTCCCCTTCCCTTCAATGCATCTGTGGCCACATCTGCTTCAAAATCTACACTATTCATTCCGAAATGAGGACAGAAAGAATCCCAGCCCAGAGTGCGGGACATTGAGTAGCATTCACGACCATCCTATGAATTCTCCAAATTAAGGCCTCAGGAGAAAATTTTGTTGTTGCTTAGTCACTCAGTCGTGTCCAATTGTTTGTGACCCCACGGACTATAGCCAGCCAGGCTCCTCTGTCCACGGGATTTCCCAGGCAAGAATACTGGAGTGGGTTGCCGTTTCCTTCTCCAGGGCATCTTCCCAACCCAAGGATTGAATCTGCATCTCCTACAATAGCAGGCAGATTCTTTACCACTGAGCCACCAGGGAAGCCCCATGAGAACATTATTCAGCCATAAAAAGGAATGAAGGACTGACACATTCTGCAACATCAATGAGCCCTGAAAGCATTATCCTCAGTGAAGGAAGCCAGACGTGAAAGGCTACATGTTACCTGATTCTACTCATATGAAATATTTAGAATAGGCAACTCCACAGAGACAGAGAGATAAGTGGTTGGCTTGGGGAGGGGGAAACAGGGAATGACTGCTTAACGAGTAAGAGCTTGGTTTGCAGTGATAAACAAGTTCCAGAACTAGACAGTGGTGACAGCTGTATAATACCGTGAATGTATTCAATGCCACTGAACTTTAAAATGCTTAAGATGGTAAACATGAGAGCCCTAAAAATGGTTAGTGTGGTAAAAAGTGTGTCTATTTTACCATGGGTGTGTTCAGTCATCATTCGTGTCTAGCTATTTGCAACCCTATAGACTATCCCACCAGGCTCCTCTGTCCACGGGATTATCCTGGCAAGAATACTGGAGTGGGTTGCCATTTCCTTCTCCAGGGGATCTCCCCGACCCAGAGATTGAATCTGCATCTCCTGCATTAACAGGCGGATTCTTTACCACTGAGCCACCGGGGAAGCCCCATGAGAACATTATTCAGCCATAAGAAAGGAATGAAGGACTGACACATTCTGCAGCAACATTGATGAGCCCTGAAAGCATTATGCTCAGTGCAGGAAATCAGACATGAAAGGCTACATGTTACATGATTCTATTCATATGAAATATTTAGAATAGGCAACTCCACAGAGACAGAGAGATAAGTGGTCAGCTCGAGGAGGGGGAAATGGGAAGAACCACCCAAGAAGCCACAGATTCTTTACAGCCATTGGCAGGCAGATTCTTTACCACAGAGCCACCAGGGAAGCCCTTTTTATTTTACCACAATACCAAAAAAATCAAATTAAACAATGAACACATATCCCAGCCAGTGATCAAGCCCCTACTAAGTGCCAAAGACATGCTAGGCATTTTATAACTATGGTCCCATTTCCTTAACCCCTTAGGAGTCCAGCAACGTGCCATCTTCCTGGTACTGCCACGTCCCTGATGAGGACATAGCGGCCAGGAGGGGTGATGTGGCTTATCCAGGGAGCCTGCAGGGAGACATGGGACCATCTGACTCCCAAGCCTTGCATTTCTGCTCAGTTTCACACCTGTGACGTACATTATCCACCCTCTCCCTGCCCCCGGTGATGCACTGTCAGCACTGCAGGACTGGGGGTTGTTTTCACAGAACTAGAGATGAGCATTAGCAAGAGATACAACACTGCCGCCTGCCCTGAACCCCAAGTGCAGTCGGCCAGAAGGCATCAGCCCTAAAAGGCGCTGTCCTGGGAGGGCTTGTCAGCGGGGTCGAGAAAGGTGTGCACGCCTGTGCTTAGGCGGCACCAAAACCCAACAGTGACTGCTGCAGGAACGTGCTGTGCAGTCGCTCAGTCGTGTCTGACTCTGCAACCCCATGGGCTGCAGCACGCCAGACTTCCCTGTCCGTCACCAACTCCCGGAGCTTGCTCAAACTCATGTCCATCGAGTGGGTGAGGCCATCCAACCATCTCATCCTCTGTCATCCCCTTCTCCTCCCGCCTTCAATCCTTCCCAGCTTCAGGGTCTTTTCCAATGATGGCAAACACTGTCTTACAAACAGCAGGCCTCCATGCGAGGGTCCTGCAGGACATCCCCTGAGGGCTCTCTGCCATCTGACATCCTGTGCTCACCCCTCACAAAGCTGTTTCTCCAAACATTAGAGCCCACCCTACAGAGGAAACCAGACAATAAAAACCTCTAAATGGAGCTGCGGAACTATGACTTGCACAGGAAGCCAGGGGCTTCTCAGGGTCTACGTAGAAAACTCCACTCTCTCTAGATAGCCCACCTGGGGTCCTGCATGCTGCAGGGCTTAGGAAACCCCAGGCTCTGAAAATCCTTTGGGCTCATAGAGACCACCGGAAGCCTTCAATACTTAGTGCTGAAAGGAGGAGAAAAGCAATCCTTTCACTTCTTTCAGTTCCGGGGACTAGTAGACAAAAGATCCTACGAGATGGAGGTCTGACCCATCTCCCGTCACCGAGAAAGAAAACCTTGGGGAGAAGTGCGGGAAGACCACCCAGGTGGGAGCCTTAAGGAAATGTGGCTGTTGCAGGGGACAGGCCGGGAAACCATCGAGGAGACCCAGGGGGCCAGTACATCAGGGCCGCCCACCCCTCCAAAACCCACTTATTTCAGGAAGCTCTGAGCCTCCCTCCCCCACCCCCATTCTGTCAGAAAGGAACGTTTTTGGAAAACCACTTCCTGTTTTAACGATAATTCATAAAAGCAGACTTTTAACCAGTCAGATTAGCAAACTCCATGTAGGGCCCTAGAAGAAGAAATAGCTTTAGGCCTCCCCTCCCCCTTGAACATTCACTCACACACACACACACACACACACACATTTTCCAGATGGATCCAGGCTGTCTTGGGTGGTTCTAAAAAGAAGTGTAATGAGTAGCTTGAGGCTTAGAGGTGGGGGTGAGAGGGGGTGGGGGAGGACAGGAAGCAGGTTTTGGGGGGATGCCTGTAGCTGTACAGTCCTCGGGCCTGTCAGCTCCACGATGTGTCCACAACCACCCCGAGCATCGGTCGGAGAAGAGTGCAGGGTCCCCGAGGTGCCTGGACATGGACCACGCTCATCTCTGGCTGATGGCTCAGGGTGACAGCTTCGTGGGCAGAGCTTATCTGGCTGGGGTAGGAAGCATGACTGAGAAGGGAAACCCTGAGACTGCCAACCACAAGCTGGTCACAGGAAAGCCTGGTGTCCACGCTAAGGATGCATAACAAAAAAGAAGAAGCAGGTCTCTCGAGTTATTTGGGGATATTTTCCAGAGTGTGGTTAACCCCATTCTAGTTCCTGTCGGGACAGGGTGAGAATATCCCCTACTGGTGGGGGCCCCCAGGGTCTAGGACTCTGGGTGTGATGTGGAAGGAGGTCTGGCCTCTCTCCTCCAGCTGCTCCAGCCTCCACCAGAGCACCCGCACCACCATGGAGAGCAGCCACGCCCGGCTCCCAACCCTGCCCCAGAAGGTGCTGGAGAAGGATTGCCCCTGGGTGCAGGCGATGACTCCCGGCATCAACCTGAGGACCCCCGTTAGAAGCCGTGTGTAGCCAGGTCTGCCTCCAGACACAGACCCCAGCCCCTCTGCCTGGAGCCTTCCTCCCAGCTGAGCAGCGCATCAGCCAAGAGCAACGCCCAGCAGCAGTCAGCACTCAAACCCCGCTCCCAGCAAGTGCAGGTTTAGGAGAAGCAAACTCTTTGAGTCTCATCAGCCCCAGAAAGAGAAATCGACCCAGAACAAAGGCAAAGGCATTCGCAGGCCACAGTGCGGATGAGCACTGCTCTCTATGTTCTGGCTTCTCTCTCTCATTAGTAAGTGTGCTTTAACTTTATCCACTGGGAGAAATAAAAGCTTTTACTCCACATGCCCCTGTAGTTAATGATTTCTTACTGAAACATCTCAAAAGAAAGAAATGCATTTTCTGTCTCCACTTTCTCCCTTCCACCTGCTCCCCCGTCCCTGGCTCCTGCCCTCCCACCAACACACTTCTTCTGGACCGCTCTCCAGGCCCCCACCCTGCTCACCCCCATTGCCCTCCCGGGATTCTCCAACACCTCGCTGCTTCTGTCTCCTTTGCCAGCTTCTGTCCCTCTGTCCCCCCAACCCCTGAAAATTCTGGGGTTTCCTGAGTTTGGCCCTAGGCTGGCCACTTTCCTAACCACATGGTCTCCCAAATTCCAGCCCATTCCCCTGCCCCAAGCAATTTACCATGCAGATAACTCGTGTCTAGAATTGTGAGCTTAGATATCCCACAGACATCTCACACCTAACACCGAGAAAAGAAGTGGCCCCCTTCTGGCCTGGGGGGTCCCCCTGTATCCACTCCAGGAACCTGGGGGTGGTGATCCCCTAAAGCCCCACTCACCCCTGCACCCTGCCTGTCCCTGAGTCCTGCTCACCTGGCCTGCGTCAGCCCCTCCCCTGCTGTTCCCATCACTCTGCCAGAGACGGACAATGGGGCAGGACACATAAGGAAAGGCAAGGATCAAGCCACGCACCACCTGTGTTACTATCAGCTTCAGAAAGAGAATGAGGCAAGGAAAAGGTCAAGTGAATGATTTGAGATTACTTCTGAGAAGGGGTTCAGGATATGGAAAGCAGTTAGAGGAACAGTGAATGACGCTGCAGACAGCAACAGGAAGAGACCTAGGCCCTCCCTGCAAGCTTGTGGGGGGTGGGGGCGTGCAAAGTAGCATCCCCAAATGGCAGGAACTCAAGGGCATCTGGGAACCCAGGCGGGAGGGATGAAGGGGGCAGCAGGAAAAAGCCATTAGACCCCCAGGTTCTGATCCCCATCCCCGAGCAGTCATCTCCTCCCTCCCTACCCACCTACCACCCCCACCCCCA